AAATACTCCCCCCCCCCTTGGGTATATTAGGGTTAAAGATAGATTCGGTCCTGGTCTGTTGTTGTCTCAAGGTGGCTGGTTCGAACTGCTGTCATTAATTCCGCATGTCTAAAAAATGATTTTTACATTTTAGTTTTTCAAATTTGAAATCTCGGTGGAATTAATAAAAAGCCGTAAATAAATAAAAGTGGATGAAGCAGGTCATTTGTTCAAACCGCATTTCGGCCATGAACATATTTCAGTAAAAAAAACTTTTTATCATTTTAGTAATACAAATTAAATTTCTGAGAATTAGTTAAAAAAATTATAATGTAAAGTGTAAATCAAAGGATATTTTTGGGAAAATACGGTCTTTTTCATAATATATGTTTCTTTAGCTTAGGACTCTTCCAATTGAAGAGCTATATGTAACCGAATAATAAAATGAGCTACAAGCTCACAAAGTTGTGATAATGATGTCGCACACGAAGTTTAATTACTTGAGAAAAAAATGAAGAAGAAAAATATTCCTCTTTGGAGTGATTTTAGAGAAATCATATTTTCAAACCTTAAAATACTTTCTTCCCAATCCAATCCCAGCCAGTTAATTATCTAAAATATATTAAATAACTTAAAGGAACTGAGTTTTTCCCACAAACTTAAATGTTCTAATTCCTATTTCTCTGTATTCGGATGGTTTAAACCTTGGAGAGTTCAAACTTAGATAATTTGATCTAACAGAATTCATAGTTTGAAATATCAATGGTTACTGACATTGAATTGAAAAGATATAGGGATTGGAAAACCTGAGTTTGTGGCAAAAACTCAATTCCTTTAAACATTATCTAAGCTTCCAGGGTGCATCGATTTTAAAATCTAATTGTTGCTCTTTTATCAATTTTTTTTCGTGGAGTTAAAAAAAGAGTTTTTTTTCTTTTAATCATTTATAAATCTTCCCTGGGATCATGATAGGTCCCACAAAAAAATTGGGCCCGATAAGTTCAGCCGTTTTGACGTTTATCGGTAACAAACAAACAGACAAACAGACAAGCAAAATATATATATATATGATGTTTAACAATGAACTGTTTAGCATCAATCCCTTTTCATACTTTAAGTTAATTAATAAGTTTAATTTGGTCGATATTAGACCACCAAATTTATCTTAAAAAACTTTCACATTTCTTATTTAATAAAATTTAAGAAAACAAGTGAGTCTCAAGAAGATCCTGGAAGAAAAAAAAATTTCGGGTCATTATTAAAGTCTCATCTAAAGAGGCCATGATAGCATATTTTCAATTGACCCTGCATGCAAAGGTGGCAATGCCCGATTCACAACAGTACCCTTATCGTTTTTCTAGATTTAGAAGGGTTTAATTCTTGTAGATTCTTTACGTTTTCCTGCAGTAGACATGGGCATTGGGCAAGTCATTTTTGTAGAGAGACCGCAATCGAAAATGATCAGTTTTCTAAATTATAAACATAAATGTCTAATTCATACTTAAAGGGTACCGTTGTGAACAGGGCATTACAATTTCCTCTGGAAATTACGTTTACAGTCCCTAAACCCATGAATGTGAATCGTATACTGTGTAATATCAACGTGGTTTTAACTATTAATTGTACGTAGGAGCATATACAAAACATATCCAGACGAAACATATCAAAACAAAACATATTCAGACGAAACATATCAAAACAAAACCTGTCCAGACGAAACATATCAAAACAAACTGTCCAGACGAAACATATCAAAACAAAACATATCCAGACAAAACATATTCAGACGAAACATATCAAAACAAAACATATTCAGACGAAACATATCAAAACAAAACCTGTCCAGACGAAACATATCAAAACAAAGCATATTCAGACGAAACATATCAAAACAAAACATATTCAGACGAAACATATTAATACAAAACATATTCAGGTCCAGACGAAACATATCAAAACAAAACATATTCAGACGAAACATATCAAAACAAAACATATCCAGACGAAACATATCAAAACAAAGCATATCAAAACAAAACATATTCAGACGAAACATATCAAAACAAAGCATATTCAGACGAAACATATCAAAACAAAACCTGTCCAGACGAAACATATCAAAACAAAGCATATTCAGACGAAACATAAAAACAAAACATATTCAGACGAAACATATCAAAACAAAACATATCCAGACGAAACATATCAAAACAAAGCATATGTCCTTCAAAACATATCAAAACAAAGCATATGTCCTTCAAAACATATCGGCACAAAACGTATCAAACGAAAAAACATCAAACATAAAATTTCATAGATAATGACAGAAAAATAGCGTAAAAAATAAAATACAAAATATTTAGAAAAAATCAAAATAAAACTAGGTTTGTTCCACTTTCTTTCTTGAAATTGTGAAAATTTTCATTCAATCTCTGCAGCATAAAAAATTTACAAATCACTCATACTTAGAAACCACAATTTTAAAAAAAGAATTTTTATCTAGAAAAATAAGGATATCTCATTCACCCTTGATCAGACCAATGGTATCCTTGTGAATCGGATCGTACATACCTCCCTTTAAATAAGTTTGTTTGTTAATATTATTTAAGATACAACAACAATGTAAGCAAGCTAATCCATCACAAAAAAAATTTTAAAAATATTTAGAATTTACTTTATAACCTTCTTCATAACTCCACATATTAAAACAAGAATATGTGGGTCCGACAAAGGGTTGTAAGTTATAAAATTTAGCTGAAATTCAACTTTACAGAAATAATTAAAGATTTAACTAAGCTCTTTATATCCCTTTCATATTACAATTTGTAAATTATTGTTTTTTTTTTCTGTACCTAACTTTGATGTAAGATGACACAACCTAAAAAAATTAAATCACAAAAATAGTCTTAGCCTAGCCTAACCCAGTTTTTATACATTTTTTAGATAATACTTGATTTTACGTGAAAGGGGGAGGGCCCGGAGGGGGGGGGGGGGTAAAAAGATTTTGTATTTCTACCCACTAGCCAGTTTAGTCCATGATTTAAGGTTTTGAGTATGGTTGGTTGAGGAGAAGGGTGGGAACTCCAGGCTCCTTGAGACCAGGGAGTTAGATACTGCTCTTCCGTCCCGAACCATGTGGATTAGTTTACTATTGGGAAACCATTCAGATAAAAATCCTCCCTGAAATCAAAATTATAAATTTCAAAATTTTTAAATTGAAATTTAACCATAATTCATTTTAAAAATCTTGTTTTTATAAGAAAGGTTGTTTACCTGTGTTAGAAGAAATGGTTCCTTTATACAAGGGATCCTAGCTGCAACATCTTGGTGTCGGGCACCAACCTCAAGAAGAAACCCGGACACAGCATGGTCAATCAACTAATCAATTAATTGATTATTTAGCAAAGCAATCAATCAATCATATATTTAATAGATAAATCGATTAATCAATCCAGTGTTTACTCAATTTAGGACCTTAGGGTGCTGCAAGCTCCCTTTCCTATAAACAATTGTAGCTTATAACTGTTGCTCTTAAAGTCGCCATTTTTACTCATTTCTTAATTTTCGCGGATTTTTCTGTTTAAATTGGTGGATTTATAAAATTAATAAAAATTTACATTTTTTCCAGGACATATTTAAATATCGACAGTTCATAAACTTTCCCCTGGTAATTTGAGTTACCCTAACAAAATTAGGCCTTATCGGTTCAGCCGTTTATTAGATACAAACAAAGATAAACCTGCAAGGTAACTCCAGCAGCCATATTTCTTTTTCTCAGGCTTTCCACATTATTCCATTCATATCTTAGTTTTAATATGTCTAAACAATCAGTAGCTTATAACTGTTGCTCTTAAATTCGCCATTTTTACTCATTTCTTAATTTTCGCGGTATTTTCTGTTTAAATATGGTGGATTTATAAAACTAATAAAAATTTTCATTTTGTCCAGGACATATTTCAATATCGACAGTTCATAAACTTTCACCATGTAATTTGAGTTGCCCTAAAAAAAAATTAGGCCTTATCGGTTCAGCCGTGTTGAGGTTTACTAAATACAAGCAGACAAACAAAATATAGCTTAAACCTGCAAGGTAACTCCAGCAGCCATATTTCTTTTCCTCAGGCTTTCCACATTATTCCATTCATATCTTAGTTTTAATATGTCTAAACAATCATCAATCTCAGCTTTAATCAATGGCTTGTCAATTACCAATTTCAGCTTTAATATGTCTTAACAATTATGAATCTCAGCTTTAATCAATGTCTTATCAATTACCAATTTCAGCTTTAATATGTCTAAACAATTATGAATCTCAGCTTTAATCAATGTCTTATCAATTACCAATTTCAGCTTTAATATGTCTTAACAATTATGAATCTCAGCTTTAATCAATGTCTTATCAATTACCAATTTCAGCTTTAATATGTCTTAACAATTATGAATCTCAGCTTTAATATGTCTTAACAATTATGAATCTCAGCTTTAATCAATGTCTTATCAATTACCAATTTCAGCTTTAATATGTCTTAACAATTATGAATCTCAGCTTTAATATGTCTTAACAATTATCAATCTCAGCTTTAATATGTCTTAACAATTGTCAATCTCAGCTTTAATAGGTCTTAACAATTGTCAATCTCAGCTTTAATATGCCTTAACAAATATCAATCTCAGCTTTAATGTGTATTAAAAATTATCATTCTCAGCTTTAATATGCCTTAACAATTATCAATCTCAGCTTTAATTTGTCTTAACAATTATAAATCTTGGATTTTTTTCAAGTGATTTTTTGGGATTTGCCATAGAAAACCATGAAACTTTATACTAACCTATAAAAATATGAGTCTCAGGACCACAGCTGATTTGAGAGTGAATATCCAGGAGTACTCTCATCAGTGTTGTTCCTGACTTTGGAACACCTGCAAAATACACTTGGAACAGAATTTGGAACAGAATTTAATAAAGAGGCTTTTAAGGCGCTTCGCCCCCCCCCCCTTTCCTGTAAACAGCTCATATTCTAAATCACCGATTTTGAAGTCAGCGGATGCAAAGAAATTTTCCGATGATTCCAACCAATCAGAGAGCCGCAAATATTGGGTTTATTAATCTATTGACTGAAACACATCTTGGCTCTTATTTTAAAAAATCAAATTGAACCAGCCATGAGAGATATGCAGTTGAACCGTGTCTACATAGTTTAACAAGTGCTTGAGACTTGTTGAATCCGGTTCCTGGACTCCCATTTCTTAGCAAGCTTTAATTAAATTAGAACTATAAACTTACCTCCAATAAATAAGAATGGAGATGATTTATTAAAGATGGTATTTGAGCCTGGAACTAAAACTTGATGGATATCTCCAGGGGTAATCGTATCAGGGTTGGATGCAGGACCAAGTTGAAACCAGGAAACTAGGAAAAGAGATGATCTAAACTAATCTCTAATGATTGGCATAAGAAAACTTTGACACTCCATGTAGAGTGCAGAAGAAATGCTGCATCAAATGCCATATAGATCCAGACTCCTACAGAAAGTAGCATACATTTTTTTCTTGACTTAATCTGTTTTATAGTGTCACAGCGTCTTGGCCATTGATTTTAACTCTCTAACTCAATCATACTTTTATGAAGCCCTAGACAGGGACATTCTAGAAATATAAAGTACTTGCTTTTAGCTTTAGTTCTAAAAAGGTAATTGGCAAGAGATTTTCACGGTAGAGCTTTGGACCACTGTGATGCCAGTACACTTTACAAACATATATTGTTAAAAAATTTTATAAAAAAACCAGTAACTAAATTTTTTAAAATTCTTTTATAAACAAAAAGAACCATAACTGGACAATTTTATAAAAAATGTTTTGCATGCACCAACCAAGAACACATGTACAGTGTGTCCCAATAAACATGGGAATTCAGTGACGAATTCGATATCGTCTTTTTAAATAATTCTTTGATTTAGTATAGTGATACCTACTGAGAAAGCTGTAATCTGTAAGAGTTTCGTCTGCTATGTTCACATTTTGTTTGTTTATGTTTTGACTGCATACGGTTGTCCTTAGTAAAACAAGAAAATTGCAGTATACAAACAGAGTAAACTTGTCCGTCTTCACTGTTCATCTTGCGGAGACATTATAGACACATCTTTACAGTTTTTTACCCTTTTCATAAATAAACTCTAGCAGCCATAATAATATTATGGCTTTTGAAATAATGTATTACAATGCCAATTCATGAACAAAGACGATATCCAATTCGTCATTGCATTCCCTTGTTTTTTGGGACACCCTGTATTTTGGTCATTTAACAATAAAAATCTTTTCTCAAACTCTGGGCTAGTTAAAGTTTTGTCAACAAAGTTTATTTAGATTAATATATAGTTCCCAAAAAGAACTGATGATTTCCAATTTCAATTTACTCAGCAATTAACACATCCAATCTATGCATGGACAAACATTATAATGTTGCCAGAATTTAGCCCCTGGTTTATCTTACAAGATAACTTTTCTTTCGGTTCATGAAAATAAAACATTTTCTATCAGCACCAATCTTTTGAAAGATCTATTTCTGAGAACATTTTGCAAACAAATTTCAAGATTTGCTGCTTTATAATTTTTAAGTTTCTACAAAAATAAAAAAGTTTTTTAAAATGTTGTGTCATTTTCTTGGAAATGGATTGAGTCTTTGCCTTGCCGCAAACTCTGATTTTCTAATCTTTGCAACCTAATGTCGCAGACCTTAGAAATTTCCAACTATGATGAATATTATTAAGATTTACACCCTCAGATTGCAAAGTTATAGGGATGAGAAAATTTGAGATTGTGACAGAGACTCATTTCCTTTGATGCTAAATTCGATTCAAAATAACATTAACAATGTTGATAAAAAAAATGTACTCTGGCTGAAAAATTCCCAAAACTGCATCTTATCCTTCCACAGAGGAACTGAGTTTTTACCACAAAATCAATTATTCTCATGCCTGTATCTTCGTAAGTTAAAAATATAAACCTTAGGCATTTCAAACTTAGATTATTTGATTCAATAAAATTTATAGTTTGATATATTTAAGGTCTACAACATTGGGGAGCAACGATATAGATTAGAGAAAATCAGAGTTTGTGGCAAAGACTCAACGCCTTTTAATTGTACTCTAAATTTCGTTTAACCTACCTTAATTTTAAAAACTTTTCATAATTTTTTGCAAGCACAAGGCAATTCAGCATTAAATTTCAAAGAAAATGGGGTGTTACATGTCATTTTTTCTCTGTGTGCTGATTTCATATACAAACACTTTTTTATCTTATTTTTCAAAACAATCGTTTAATTTGTTTTTATCTTTACTTCCAATGTTGATTTACCTTGTATATTT